ATTCTTATTTTTGGAAAATGTGCAAAATCATTTAATGGGTGGAGAACAAACATCTTTTGTAAAAAAAGGTAATTCTTTACTTAATTTTATTTGTTCATTTATTTTAAATTTTTAAAAAGAATTATTTAACTTTATTCATTCATTTATTTTAATTTGATCAGAGAGAGGCAGAGAAAGAGAAAGTGAGAAAGCAAGCCACCAGGTCCAACACTTGAACCATGGTTGGCTGTGTGGAGTGTCCAGTGCCTTAACCACCACGCCACCTGCTAGTCCCTATTCACTTATTTTAATTTGACCAGAGAGAGATGGGGGAAATGAAAAAACAAGCCACCATCTCTAAGATTTGAACCTTGGTCAGCCATGCGGGAGTATCCTTCATCTTAATCACCATACCACCTTCTGACTCCTAGAATGGAAATCTTTTTAATAGCTTCATAAAGAGAATTAACACAGTAATTTACTCTTTGTTAAGAAGCAAAATACAGACATGATTTCTCACTCTTTAAAATACATTTGTGGTGGACTGGCAATTGGTATAATGGCTGTGTCTCTGGACTCCCATGTAGTCTATTGCAGTTTGAGTCCCAGACCTAGTGGCTTAAACTCACGCCGGGCGCGTGTGTGTGCGTGCCCAAGATCCCAAGAGGAGAATGGAGAAGAAGGGATTGCGGCGTGGCCATCTCCCCTGGGGGGTGATTTCTCACTTTCTCTCTCTTTCTCTCTCTGTTCCTGGAGAGCACATGTGCCTTATAGCAAATATTTCTCTAAAAAAGAAAATGCATCATGACTTTTTTGACAACCCAGTAAGAATTTTATTGGGCCAGTCGTGGTGTTGTGGTAAAGGCAGCTGGGTCCTACATGGCCAACCATGGGATTTGAGCCCAAGGCCCATTGGCTTGAAAAAACAGGCCAGACACATATGTGTGCATGCCCAAAACCCCAAAAGGAGGGACAGAGGGAGTAGAAGGGATGGAGGCGTGACCATTCCCGTGGGGGGTGCTTTCTAGATTTCTCACTTGCTTTCTCTCTCTTCTTTTTAAAAGATTTTTTTTTTTTTTAAGAGAGGTTTTGCTATAGGGCGCATGCACTCGCCAGAAAGACAGAGAGAGAAAGAGAGACAGAAAGCAAGAAATCACCCCCCAGGGAGGATGGCCACACCGCAATCCCTTCTCCTCCATTCTCCTCTTGGGATCGTGGGCACACATGCACATGCGCCCAGTGTGAGTTTAAGCCACTGGGTCCGGGACTCAAACCACGGTTGACTATATGGGAGTCCAGCGACATAGCCATTACGCCCACCTCTGGTTCCTTAAATAATTATTTTTTCAATTTTATTTATTCATTCATTTATTTTAATTTGACCAGAGAGAGAGAGAAGGCAAGAAAGCAAGCCATCCGGTCAGAGACTCGAACCATGGTCAGCCATGCAGGAGTGTCTAGCACTTTAGCCACCACACCACCTACTGGCTCCTCTGTATTTATTTTTCTTGGAGAGATTTTGCCATAGGGCACATGCGCTTGCAAGACAGAGAGACAGGTGAGAAATCGCCCCCCAGACTTGGCGATAGGATGGCCACACACCGCTATTTCTTCTTTCATTCTCCTCCTGGAATCCTGGGCACGCATGCATTCATGTTCCGTGTGAGTTTCAAGCCACCAGGTCTAGAACTCACACCACCGTCAGTCTCGTGGGAGTCCAGTGACCTAACATCTGTGCCATCTGCTGGCCTCTCGCTCTCTGTGTCTCCATTCAGTGCACGTGTGTTCTGGGAAATTAAAAAAAAAATTAGCCCTTAATTCTAAGGCCAGGAAAACTCATAGGTCCCATTCCCAGGACAAAGTCCCTCCCATGTCTCACTCGCCACACGGCGTAGGGGCAGGGCTGTCGTGCCCGTGGGACTCACACGCTCGCCCGGTGTGGTTGTCGGCCGTGGGAGCCCACACTTCCAGCGTCTCCTCCCCCTGCATCTTTCTCTGTCTCTAAACCAGGAGAAGTCCGTTCTCTGAAACCCCCTAAGAACCCACGACTGGGAGACTGTGTCCGAAGCCCCCCAGATCCCAAGTTGGGCCATTCGCATCACTTTGAAGGCTCAGAAGGCAGTTTGGTACCCATTCCTGCTACAGAACACAGCACAGAGGAACCAGGACAGGCGGTCACCAGGTAGGTGGCTGTTTTGGTTTGTTCTTTTACAAATAAAATACCTGGGAACCAGCAGACGGCATAATGGTTATGTTGCGGGAGCCCCACGTAGTCGACCGCAGTTCAAATCCCAGATCCAGCGGCTTAAATATGCTGGGCACGTGTGTGCGCATGCCCAAGATCCCAAGAGGAGAATGGAGGAGAAGGGATTGGGGTGTGACTATCCTTCCCCTGGGGGGTGGGAGGAATGATTTCTCCTTTTCTGTCTCTCTTTGTGACTCTGGTGAGTGTATGCACCCTATAGCAAAAATCTCTCCAAAAAAGAAAGAAAAGCTGGGGGGATGGGGGCAAGCAGGTGGCGTGGTGGTTAAGGGCGCTGGCTCCCACATGCAGTTCGAGTTTCAGACTTGGTGGCTTGCTCTCTCACTTTCCCTTTCCCTCACTCTCTCTGTCCCTATGGTAACATTTAAATAAATAAATAAAATCAAGTTAAATAAAGTAATTGTTTTTAAAAAATTATTTCATTTTATCTGTTCATTCATTTAATTTGACCAGAGAAAAACAGACACACAGAACGAAGGCAAGTGAGAAAGCAAGCCACCAAGTCCGGGACTCAAACCATGTTGACCATGTGGGAGTGTCCAGCGCGCCTTAACTACCACGCCACCTGCTGGTCCCCTAAATAAAGTAATTCTTGAAAAAAGAAAAAAAGGAAAGAAACTGCTGAGTGTGTGTCTGTGTGTGTGTGTGGGGATGCCCAAAATCCTTAAAAGAGAAATGGAGGAGAAGGGATTGTGGCATAACCATTCTCCATGTGAAGTTCTGGTCCCCCTCATCCTCCCATGCCCTCGGTGTCTCTCTGGTGAGCACATGAGCCTTCCAGCAAAAGAGAGAGAGATCGGGTGACTTGCCCAAAGACCCTGTGCTGGGGTGGGGCAGGCCGGGATTCTGCCTGCGTCCATTTACCCCTTGTTCTCTGTCTCTCGTTTTCATTATTGCCAGAGGGCACATGTGCTTGCCAGAGACAGAGACAGAGACAGAGGGAGACCACATCCGAGGTGGGCTTCCAGCACATAGCGCTTTACCAGTGCACTATGGGGCCGGCCCTAGCAACATTTCTCTAGGATTTTCTGCTTCGTTTTTTTGTTTTTGTTTTTAAAGAATTATTTTATTTAACTTTATGTATTTCAATTTGACCAGAGAGGGACAGAGCGAAAGAGAGAGAGAGAAAGTGAGAAAGCAAGCTGCCACGTCTAGGACTCGAACCGTGGTCGGCTACGTGGGAATCCAGTGCCCTGAAATCACCACACTGCCTGGCGGTCCCCATGCTTAATTTTTAGTTTGTGAGTGGATGATGTGAGGACCTCGGCCTTCCTCAGTTTTGTCTTTCTCCACCCAGCTCCCCTGATGAGGAAGCGGGATCGCCCTCCCAGCGCCTCAGGCAACCAGGGAAGGAGCCAGCTGTCCTTCCTCCCTCCCAGGTAAGCTCTGCAGTCACCTCACGGCGTGCAGATGCTCCCTCCACTACCGCGGGCTCCATCTTGAGAAGCCCTCGTACATAGAAAACACATTCGGAGAGACCAGCCCTTGGCATGATAGCTATGTCGCTGGACTCCCATGTACTCTACTGAGGTTCGAGTCCCGGACCCGGTGGCTTAAAACTCATGCCAGGCGCATGTGTGCATGCGTGCCCAAGATCCCGAGAGGAGAATGGGGGAGAAGAGACTCTGGGACTCAAACTGTGGTCGACTACATGGGAGTCCAGCGATGTAGCCATTACACCTACTTCTGATCCCTATAATTACTTTTTTTTTTTGGAGAGATTTTCACTATAGGGCAAGTGCGCTCGCCAGACAGACAGAGAGAGACATTAGAGACAGAAAGCGAGAAATCACCCCCCAGGGGGGATGGTCATGCCGCAATCCCTTCTCCTCCATTCTCCTCTCGGGATCTTGGGCACGCACGCACACGCGCCCGGCGTGAGTTTTAAGCCACCGGGTCCGGGACGCGAACCGCGGTCGACTATGTGGGAGTCCAGCGACATAGCCATTACGCTAACTGCTGGTTCCCCCTATAATTACTTTTTAATTTGTTGTAGGCTATGTGCACTCAAGAAAGAGATAGATAGATAGAGAGAGAGAGAGAGAGAGAGAGAGAAGGAAAGTGAGAATGCAAGCTTGCAGGTCTGGGACGCAAACCGCTGTCAGCCGGGTGGGAGTCCTGCGCCTTAACCACAACATCCACTGGCCCCCCACTCCCCTAACTTTATTGCTGCTTTGTTCTTGTACTGGCTTACAGAACTCATTGGGGAGGTTCGTCCCCCAATTTGCAAAATCAAGGAAGACATTGACGAGTAAAGCAGGAACGAGAGAAGAGGACGTGGGAAGTGGGGCCTCCAGTCTGGTAAGTCCGTAAGATGGCCAGGCGGGACTCAAACACTTGCAGCCTCTCGGCCCCAGCCTCAGCAGCCGAGGCCAACCATGCTTTCTTGGTTTGTTTTTCTTCTCTTCTCCTCCTCTCCCCTTCCTTTTTTTTTTTTTCCTTTTTTTTTTTTCTTTTTTCACTAGAGAACACATGGGCTCGTCAAGAGAAAGAGAAAGGAAGGGAGAGGAGAAAGTACCCTCTGTGAGGAAGGGTCCCTTTGCAATTCCTTCTCCTCCGTTTCCCCATCCTATTGAGATAGGGGGTTACACACACTCAACCCAAGTGTTTCTCAAGTCACCGGGTCTGGGATTCGAGCCACATGGTTAAGCATGTGGGTCCAGCTGTCTTATCTGTCAGACCGTGGAGCCAGCTAACCTTTTTCTCCCTCCTTTCTTCCTGTTTTTAAAATATTTATTTATTTATGGGCCCAGCAGTTGGCCTAATGGCTATGTCACTGGACTCCCACATAGTCGGCCACGGTTCGAGTCCTAGGCCCAGTGGCTTAAACCTACGCCGGGCGCGTATGCGTGTGTGCCCAAGATCCCGAGAGGAGAATGGAGGAGAAGGGATTCCGGCGTGGCCATCCCCCCTGGGGGTCATTTCTCACTTTCTGACTCTCTGTCTCAGAGTCTTTCTGGCAGGCGCATATGCCTTATAGCAAAAACCTCTCCTCACCCCCAAATTTTTATTTTTAAATTAACTTTATTTATTTATTTATTTTAATTTGAGCAGAGAGGGACAGAGAGAGAGAGGAAGAGATAGAAAGTGAGAAAGCAAGTCACCAGGTTCGGGACTTGAACTACAGTCAGCCATGTGGGAGTCCAGTGCCCTTAACCACCACACCATCTGCCGGCCCCTTATTGATTAATTTTTGCTATAGGGCTCTTGTGCTGACCAGAGAGAGACAGAGAGAGAGGGAAAGTGAAAAAGCAAGGCATCAGGTCTGAAGCTTGAACTGCGGTCGGCCATGTGGGAGTCCAGTGCCTTCACACCGCACCACCCTCTGGCCCCTTTATGACAGTTCTTTTTTTTAAATAATTATTTTATTTAACTTTATTTATTTATTTTTAATTTGACCAGAGAGGGACAGAGTGAGAGAGAGAGAGAGGAAGAGGGAAAGTGAGAAAGCAGACCGCCAGGGTCGGGACATGAACTGCAGTCGGCCATGTGAGAGTCCAGCGTCTTTAACCGCCATGCCACCTGCCAGCCCCCATTTATGACAGTTTTTAACAAACAGTACAGAGTGGGCCCCGTGGGCCCTCTCCTGGCACTCCAGGTTGGCAACGCCTCACGGCAGTGACGTCCGTCATCAGACAGTTGTAGGATCCACAGGCCCCGTGGTTTTGGTTTTTTTTTTTTTTTGAGAAGTTTTTTTTGCTATAGGGCGCGTGCGCTCGCCAGACACAGAGAGACAAAGAGACAGAAAGCGAGAAGTCACCCCCCAGGAGGGATGGCCACACCGCAATCCCTTCTCCTCCATTCTCCTCTTGGGATCTTGGGCATGCATGCACACGCGCCTGGCGTGAGATTTAAGCCACCGGGTCCAGGACACGAACCACGGTCGACTATGTGGGAATCCAGCAACATAGCCATTAGGCTAACTGCTGGTCCTGGTCCCATGGTTTTGAGACCCTGGATCTCCCTGAGTGCCTGGTGCCGGCAGGGAGAGCCCGCAGGGGAGGAGTGGCTCCTGGGCTCTCAGCCCCCCAGCACAGAGCTCGGCCCAGCACTGTACTGACGCCTTTTCAGTGCATGGTGGCCGCTCAACTGAGGCTTTGGACGAGGGCGATAAGGATGAGATAAACCTTCCTAGCAGTTGCTCCTTGAGGTCTCCAGGGCTGAGTCTATCTCTCTTTACAGGAAACGCTTGCAGAGCCGAGAGCCCTGCCCGCAGGAAGCCTGTCCCTGGAGGAGCTCCCAGGACTTGCCCTCCAGGAGATTGGGGAGCCAGGAGGTCAAGTACAGGCAGGTGGCACCTGCCCCGGGCAGAGCAGCCAGAGCTTCGGGAACCCTGTGCCCAGCATTGGGGATTCCCAGCCCGTGGTCTCTCCAGAAGGGGATCCGGAGTACCCCACCTCACAGAGGGCCAGCCAGGAATCCCTGTTGGAGCAAAGAACCAGGATGTCTGAAGGTGGAGGCGTGGGGTACCACAGATCTGAGGCAGAGGGAGTAGGGGCTGACCTGCTTAGAGAACCCCAGGAGGAAGAAGAGGACATCCCTGGCTCCCCAGCACCAGCTCCTGGCTCAGGCCTGACTCAGGCACTGGGCCCTGCCACTCCACTCCTGGACCCTGGATCTGCACCCCAGGGTCTCTCTGAGCCGAGGCAGACACCCAGTGGGCCTAGCGGGGAAGAGCAGAGGCACAACCCAGGACATGTCTCCGATGAGGCCGTTGTCCCTGCAGATGTGAGCACAGACCCCCCTGAACTGGAGCTGAGGGCCTTGGAGGTGGCTAGGCCGGATGGACAGGCTGACGCCGAGTTCCCCGCCTTTGCCAGCAGGAAGGCCCCTGACGGAGGCCGTAGTGGGACCTTGCCAGCCTGCAGGCCCCTGGCCAGGGAGACCATAGCAGACAGAGAGGAGGCAGGGCAGGAAAATGAGCCCTCCAGTGAAGCCCCAGTGGGTCCTGCAGCCTCCCTGGCCTTGACTTTTGGGAACCAAGAACCCACAGTGGGTGCTGGAGATTCCAGCCTTCAAGCTCTGGAAACGGGTCCAGGTGTCCATCAGGAACAGGTGCCAAGCCCCGACCAAGAAGCAGCCGAGTTGGGCAGCCAGAGCCACGTGCAAGATCTTGAAGGGCTCAGCCTGTCCTTCCAAGCCGCCAACCTGCTGGAGCACAGAGAAGCTGCTGACAGCCCTCCTCAGGACACCCAGGCCTGTCGGGACACCCACCGAGACTCGCCGGGGCTGCTCGAGCTCCCTCCTGGTTCTGCAGACCAGCCTGTCTGGGAGGGATATTTGGCCATGGAACTCGACTTCCTGCCAGACAGCCAGATACAGGAAGCCCTGGACGCCCCCGACTTCGAGGCTCCCCCTGAGCAGGTAAGAGCTGCTCTGAGTTACGGACAGATCGATTCCCGGCAGGAACCCGAACAGCCGTGAGCTGAACCCTAGACTGCCCAGTAGGGGAGGGAAGATGGGATCCACAGCATTCCCTTCACACAGTAAACATTTTTTAAAAATTATTTTACTTATCTTTATTTATTATTTCGATTTGGCCAGAGAGGGACAGTGAGAGCAAGTGAGAAAGCAAACTGCCAGATCTGGGACTTGAACTGCGGTTGGCCATGTGGGGATCCAGTGCCCTTAAACACAATGCCACCTGCCAGCCCTACACAGTAAACATCTTGAGTTGCTCCGGTGGGTCTGCAGTCAGCAGCTTTTTTTTGTTTTTAAAGAATTAGTTTATCCTGAGACCAGCAGTTGGTGTAATGGCTATGTCACTGGACTCCCATGTAGTCAGCCATGGTTCGAGTCCCAGACTCGGTGGCTTAAACTCATGCCGGGCACACGTGCGTGCCCAAGATCCCGAGAGGAGAATGGAGGAGAAGGGATTGCCGCGTGGCCATCCCCCCTGGGGGGGGGATTTCTCACTTTCTGTCTCTCTGTCTCTCTCTTTCTGGCGAACACATGCGCCCTATAACAAAAACCTTTCAAAAAAAAAAAAAGAATTATTTTATCTTTCCTTTCTTCCTTTCTTCTTACCAGAGAGGGAAAGCAAGAGAAAGAGAGATAGGAAAAGTGAGAAAGCAAGCCGCCAGGTCCGGGACTAGAACCACAGTCAGCCATGCGGGAGTCCAGCATCCTTAACCACCATACCACATATGAGCTTTTACAAAAGGGCAAACTTGGGAACAGTAGATGGGGTGATGGTTAAGTCGCTGGACTCCCACGTAGTCAACTACGTTTCAAGACCCGAACCCAGTGGCTTAAACTTCACACCGGGTTTGTGTGAGTGCCCAACATCCAAAGAGGAGGATAGAAGGGAGGGGATTGCAGTGTGGCCATCACCCGGGGGAGTGATTTCTTGTTTTCTGCCTGTTTCTGTCTTTCCAGTGAGCACATGTACCCTGTAGCAAAAATCTCTCTTAAAAAAAAAAAGAAAAAAAAGAGAACAGACCTGCAGACCTCTAAAAAAAAAAAAAGAAAAAAAAGAGAGCAGACCTGCAGCCCTGCCTCTGTGAGTGGCCATCCCATGTGGGAGCCAAATGGCCCAGGGTGGCCATGCACAGGTATTTTGTCAGCCCCAGCTCCCTGGCCCCCAGAACTGGACCCCCAGGTATGCTGGCCCCCAGCTGCTTTGCACCTGTCCCCCTATCTCTTAGTGCCTGACCCCTGCGTGGGCTCCCCAGGGGTATATGGAGAGCAATGGACAGAGAGGGGCCACTCGAAGAAGCCAATGAACCGTCTTCTGGGCCTGCAGGGGATTTCACTACTAAGCTGGAAAAAGGCCTTTACCCCTCCCCCCCAGTTTTTGCCATAGGACGCATGTGCTCACAGGAGAGAGGCAGTGAGAGGAAAATCAGAAATCACCCCCCAGGGAGGATGGCCACACCACAATCCCTTCTCCTCCAGCCCTCCTGGGATTTGGGGCACACACGCACATGCGCCTGGAGTGATCTTCAAGTTGCCGGGTCTAGGACTCCAAGCGCAGTTGGCCCTGTGGGAGTCCAGCGCCTTAACCACCACGCCACCTGCTGGCCCCGCGGTTTTGCTTCTCTGCTGGAATTGTGTAAGCACTCTGCCTCCTGCTGGGGTCTTCCCAGCAGACAGGCTGCCTGCATATTGCCGTCCCAGGGCGACCACGCCCGTGCCAGCCGCCAACCGCCAGCCGTTCTCCTTCACCTGTCAGGGCAGGTGCTTTGGCCCTGTCCCAAGAAGCGTGGCCTCCCAGGCCACCACTGGCTTATTGGAGCCTGGGCCAAGGGCTTTCCCATCCCCCCTGGGAGGTGGGAGGTTCTTCCCACTCCCTGGGCGTGGCGAGCATGCTGAAGGTCAGGCACCTGCTGGAGTGGGAGGTGGCAGAGCCAGTGGGAGGTGGCAGAGCCGGGAGGCCAGGTTGGCATCCAAGGCATCCAGTTCTTCTTTTTGAGGTTTTTGCCATAGGGTGTGTGCACTCACCAGAGAAAGAGGAAAGGGGGAAAGTGAGCAGGCAACCCCTCTCCCCTGGAGGATGGCCATGCTACACTCCTTTCTTCTCTGTCCTCTTGGGATTTGGGGCACACGTGCCTGGTGTTTTTCAAGCTGCCCGGTCCAGGACTTGAACTGTGGAGTCAGCCGCATGGGATCCAGCTCCTTAGCCACCATGCCACCTACTGGTCCATAGCACCGGCTTCTAAAGCCATGCCTTGTTTGGTAATGCGGTGCCCAGTTTGCTTTCAGACACTGGCCTGTTTCTTTTGCTATCCCTTGTAAGGATTTTTTTTCTTTTTTTGAGAGGTTTTTGCTGTAGGGCACGTGTACTTGCCAGAAAGACAGAGAGAGACAGAGAGACAGAAAGCGAGAAATCACCCCCCAGGGGGGATGGCCACACCACAATCCCTTCTCCTCCATTCTCCTCTCGGGATCTTGGGCACGCACACACATGCACCCGGCGTGAGTTTAAGCCACCAGGTCCAGGACTCGAATCCCGGTCGACTACATGGGAGTCCAGCGACATAGCCATTATGCTAACTGCTGGTCCCAAAAGCATTATCTTTTAAAAAGATAGAAAAAGTCACGCCAAGCACGTGTGTACGTGTGTATGCATGCCCCAAAATCCTGAGAGGAGAATGGAGAAGGGCTTGTGTCATGGCTATACCCCCTCGGGAGTTCCCCCTCTCTCTCTCTCTCTCTCTTCTCTTCTCCTTCTCCCTTGTCCGCACCCTAGTGAGTGCAAGTGCCCTATGCCAAAACTAAAAATAAATAAATAAGAATAGAAGAGACGAAGCACGGGCCTCTGGCCTTTCCCCAGTGGGAGGAGGAGGCTGCACTCTGACAAGGCCTCAGATTCCTGGGTGTGTTTGTTTTCGACGCTGGGCGTTTCCAAACAAGTTAGGCCACCCAGCCACCGAGCAGGTTCCCGTGGGAAGGTTCCAGAAGACAGGAAGGCAGGGGCCCATGGTGCGTGGTGCGTGCCTCCTGGTGTGGGCAAGAGCACTTGGAAATGCAGACAGAGGGAGGGAGCAGCAAGGGTGGCCTCCTCCTGACCTCAGGGCGGCGCACACACACACTCTGCGTCAAGGGAAGGGGCTCTCGGAGGTCACCCAGCAGTGACACAGGTTTCCGCCCGTTCCATAGCCTCGTGGTTAGAGGGGCCAGATCCCACATGGCCGGCCAGTCTGCATCCCAGGAGCTTAAAAAACTAGGAAATTGGGACCAGCAGTTAGCGTAATGGCTATGTCGCTGGACTCCCACATAGTCTACCGCAGTTCGAGTCCCGGACCCGGTGGCTTAAACTCACGCCGGGCGTGTGTGCGTGCGTGCCCAAGATCCTGAGAGGAGAATGGAGAAGGGATTGCGGTGTGGCTATCCCCCCTGGGGGGTGATTTCTCGCTTTCTATCTCTCTATCTCTGTCTTTCTGGCAAGTGCATGTGCCCTATAGCAAAAACCTCTCAAAAAAAAAAAAGCTAGGAAATTAAGTAATGTTTTTAAAAATAAAAATATAAAAATAGATTTAACATTACAGACACACACACACACACACACACACACTGGGCATGGGGCCAGCAAGTGGCGTACCATTTGAGGCACTGGACTCCCACATGGTCGACTGTGGTTCAACTCCTGGACCCGGTAGCTTGAAAACTCATGCCAGGCACATGTGCGTGTGTACCTAAAAATCCCAAGAGGAAATATTTATTTTAAAATATCTTTTCTTTTTTTCTGTACTAACATGAAATAGATTCACACAAAAAAAAAAAAGAAAAAAAAAAAAAAAAAAAAAAAAAAAAAAAAAAAAAAAAAAAAAAAAACCTCTAAAAATGGGCAAAAAGTAAAAGAAAGAGGGACCAGCAGATGACATAACGGTTGCGTTGCTGGAATCCCACGTAGTCAACTTTGGTTCGAGTTCAGACACAGTGGCTTCAAACTCACGCCAGGCGCTTACGTGTGAGTGCCCACAATCCCGAGGACAATGGAGAAGAAAGGATCGTGGCGTGGCCATCCCCCCCAGAGGGTGATTTCTCCCTTTCTGTCTCTCTGACTCTCAGGCAAACACGTGTGCCCTATAGCTAAACTCTCTCTAAGAAAAAAAAAAAGAAAAAGAAAAAAAGATATTGTGGGTCCTGTAGTCAGGGACAGGGGACCCTCATGGAGCCACCTACCCACACAGAGTCCAGAGAGGACACCAGGGTGGGGATCACAACGCTGGCTCATGTCCCTCCTTTCCAAGAGGGGAGGGTGAAAGCAGCCTGGGAGGCCCATCCTGGGATCCCTCCACGGCACAGGAATCCGGGCCAGGTCCCAGGGCCGAGGTGAAGCCAGGGGTCCATGATGCGACTTCTACGTATGAGGCCATTGCTCACACATTGTCCCCTCTCTCTCTCTCAGCTGTTTCCTGTGGGGAGCAGGCCCGGCCCTGGCTGGCCCGGCCTCAGCCCGCGTGCCCATGGAGACGCTGCCTCAGTGACCGAGGCCCAGACAAGGTAGGCAGGTGGGTGGGAAGCGGCCCAGGACGCCCACCCCCAGCCCTGAGCGTTCCCATCTTACCAAGGAGGGTGAGAGTGGGCCTCCTCCTCTCCTCCCTCCAGGGAGGGCCGAGCCCCGCCCTTCCTACCTCACCCGCACCCTGCTCCCCGCAAAGTGGAGACTGATGCTCTGCACCCAGACTAGCATCTGTCCCCAGGAGCCCCGAGACTCTGGGCCGGCGCCCCCAACCCTGTGGGGTCTGTGTGTGTACAGGGCTCTGCAGAAACACAGCCAGGGCTTTCCCTGAGTGTCTGCAGCCTGGGGTAGGAGTGGGGGCGGACACGGCTAAGGTCGCTGAGCAGATCTGGGGACCATGGGCACCTCGGGCACTGGCATACCGCCCCTCCCACCTGGCAGCAGCGGGTGTGTGTGTGTCAGCGTCAGAGAGGAGGGCATCACTTTCTCACCCTCCTCACCGCCTGTGCCCTCTCCCCGCCCCACCCTGGGCCGGCAGGGGGTGGCCGTCCTTTCCTGTCTGCAGAGGCCGCGCGGCTGCCTACCGATTACACATGCTGAGTTTCTGTGTCTTCTGGCCAGTGCGGACGAGGTGCTGGGCTCAGAGCCCTGGCCCACAGCTGCCTCCTCCCTGTCCTCAGCAAAGGACGACCACGCCCCCTCACACACTCACAGGCACTAGTATCTGCTAGGCCATTTGCATGTGTGCGCACATGCACCCCCATCCCGTGTGCAGACCCTGAGTCAAAGTGGCTTCACGACTGAGCAGAGGGAGGGTTTGGGCCTGGGTCTCTAAGGGCCTCTCAGAGCCCATGTGAGCCATCCTCCATGGATGGCCGGAAGCCCCCAGAGAAGGCCCTGGGGTCTGGTTCAGTGGCTCAAGGCTAAGTGAGGGGGCAGCAGATGACATAGCTGGACTCTCACATGGCCAACAATGGTTCGAGTCCCGGACCCAGTGGCTTGAAACATGCCAGGCACATATGTGTGTACCCAAAATCCCGGGAGAATAGAGAAGGGATTGCAGTGTGGCCATCCCCGGGGTGGGGTGTGTGTGTGGTTTTTCACTTTCCTTTTCACCATCTCTGTCTCTGTCTCTGGAGAGTGCACCTGTCCTAAGGCCAAAATCTCTTTTAAAAGAAGGCTGAATGATGGGGCCAGGAGGTGGCATGGTGGATAAAGGCGCTGAACTTCCATATGGCCGACTGTGGTTCGAGTCCCGGACATGGTGGCTTGCTTTCCCTTTTCTTTTCTTTTCTTTTCTTCCCTTTCCTTTCCTTTCTTTTTTAAAGCACTGTGTATGTATGTGTGTATGTATGTATTTGTTTTCACAAGTTTTGCCAGAGAAAGAGAGAACTGCCAGGTCCGGGACTCGAACTGTGGTCAGCCATGTGGGAATTCCCGCACCTTCACACCACACCATCCACTGGCCCTCTCGCTTTCCCTTTCTCTCTCTCTCTCTGGTCAAATTAAAAAATAATAATGACAAGTGGAATTAAATAAATACATAATTCTTTGGGGGGGGACTAAATTCAACAAGAGACTAAGACCCAGGCCAGCGAACCACCTCGGGGTGACGGGGTGGAAGTGGCAGAACTGGGGTTGTCCTAGTGGTAGCCCCAGAGGCATCGCCGAGCCCAGACTGGGTGGGTTCCGGGAGAGCTGTTGACCTCAGGCCAGGAGGCGAGAACAGTCCATCCACTTATGGGGCTGGCCTGCTCCGGCCACGGCCACACGCCACACAGGTTCATTCGGGTGGGTGCCGTGGCCCCTTCGCCTCTCCCTAGGTACATGAGGTCTTCACAAAGTCCATGGGAAAATGCAAGTACAAGTTTACTTTGGCACTAAAGGTGATTAACCACTGGGGCCGGCGGGTGGCGTGGTGGTTAAGGGCACTGCACTCCCACGTGGCCGACCAGTTTGAGACCCAGACCTGGCGACTTGCTTTCTCACTTTGTCTCGCTCGGTCACTCTGTCAATCTCTAGTTAAATTAAAATAAATAAATAAAGTAATTATTTTTTTTAAAGTAATCAGGACCAGCAGGTGGCATAATGGCTATGTCGCTGGACTTCCACGTAGTCAACCGTGGTTTGAGTCCTGGACCTGGTAGCACACGCACCTGGCCCATGTACGTGCATGCCCAAGATCCGGAGAGGAGAAGGGATTGCGGCGTGGCGTGGCCATCAGCCCTGGGGGGTGATTTCTCGCTTTCTGTCTCTCTGTCTCTCTCTGTCTTTCTGGCAAGTGCATGCACCCTACAGCAAAAACCTCTCCAAAAAAAAAAAAAGAAAGAAAGAAAAAAATATTCCAGGTCCCTGTCGGTACGTGCCCCAAACCCCGAGATGAGAAGAAATTGCAGTGTGGGAGGGGGATCTCTCACTTTTTCTCTGTCTCCCCTGTGAGTGCCTGTGCCCTGTAGGAAATAGTAACAGAATGTGCCCGTGGCGATCTGGGGAGCTTCTCCCCCGCCAAGGAGGAGACACAGGGAAGAACGTTCCAGGCCCTTAGTGCGCCGGGAGTGCGGCGTGGCTGGACCACAGGGAAGGCCAGCGGGGCAGAGGGGATGGGGCCCGGGAGACGCCAGCAGGGGGCGCAGAGCCCACGTTTCCATTTCCCCAGCCTCCGGGGTTGGACCTGGACTGGGGTGCACTGGGGTGGGGGGAACAGGCTTGGGGGGCAAGGACAGGGGCCCCAGGGAGGCAGCAGCTGGATTCTGCGTGCGCCGATGGCGGCTGCTTGGCCACCAGGGAACCAGCACTGAGTATCTGGAAGTCTTGGGTGGGTGGGGGGCTGTCCCTGAGGCCAGGCTTCTCCTCCCCCCTTCCCTCCCCGCCAGGACCTGCGTGGGGGCCAAGGGCTGCGAGGCCCCCAGGATGGAGGACGCCACGGACACCGTGCGCGGCCTCGTCGTGGAGCTCTCCAACCTCAAGTGAGGACTGGGCGGGAGGGATGGGGGCTGGGAGCGGCTGTGGGAGGGGAGGGGAGGGCGGGGCCCAGGCGCCACTACACG